TTTAACTTGTGTGATTTAAACCCAGACCCAGTCAGTTGGAAGAAGTGCTATCGTTTTTATGTACTACCAAGAAAGGAGAACATTGTCGAGTTTTGGGTCATCAGACACATCATGACGCAGTTTTGCACAGAAACAGGGAAATACCTCATGACGTGTCCGATGACCTAATAAATGATGACACTGTTGGTTATAGGACATGTTTTCATTTCGGAGATGCTAAAAGATGAAAAACTGAACACTAACAACCAATGAACTACAGAGTTAAAATACTGCTAGTGACTTATGCAATAATAAGCCCAAGCATGCACACAATGCTAGTCTTGGATCTGATCTTTCTTCGGATGGTCCCTGTGTGTCCTAGCAGTAATAGGCAGGTTTAGGAAGGACCAATTATGAAATGCAAGCCAAATACTTCCTGTGGCACCTCTCTAAAGGGTCTCCTAGGTTGAGTTGCCAGCTAAATTACAGGAAGTACATTTAAATTTGAACTTCAGATGTTAACAAGTAATTTTGTTTTTAGCATTCTTTTTTTTCTTTTTCTTCTTCTTTTTTTTTTTTTTTTTGGAGAGGTTTTTGCTATAGGGCGTGTGCACTCACCAGAAAGACAGAGGGAAACAGAGAGACAGAAAGTGAGAAATCACCCCCAGGGGGGATGGCCACTCCGCAATCCCTTCTCCTCTATTCCCCTCTTGGGATCTTGGGGATGCACGTACACACGCCCGGCTTGAGTTTAAGCCACCGGGTCTGGCATTCGAACTGCAGTCAGCGACATAGCCATCACACTAACTGCTGGTCCCATAAGTAATTTTTCAGTATATGTCCCAAATTTGATATAAGGTGTACTAAAAAAATAATTAACTGGGTATCCTGTATTTTTCTTTATTAATCTATAAAACATGCTCCCGGAGTAATTTCCCTTGCCTTTGACCTGCACCACATGCTCTCTTTTAAATTGTAAGTTATTTTTTGGCAACAGGGTGCATGTGCTCCAAAGAGGGAGAGAGAGAGAGTCAGAAAGCTTCTCCCCTGTTCTCCTGTCAGGATTTTGGGCACACGTGGCACACGCACCCTGCCTGTTTTTCAAGCTGTCAGGTTAAGCCTCCAATCACCAGGCTGGCCGTGAAGGCGCTCGCTGGCTTACCCATCCTGCCGCTGTCTGGCTCATACCATGCTTTTTACTCTAGATGCTTCCTTTCATTTCATTGCCCGGGGGCATCACATAAGCACCCTTGAGAGAGAGAGAAATCATCCCTCCCTGGGGCACCTCACGTCGCAGACCTTTTTCCTCCACTTCTCCACCCTGCAGGGTTTTGGACATACGCACACGTCCGCCCGGTCTGTTTCCAAGACACATTGGAAACACAGGCTTACCCACTCCTGTGCAGGGACCTCTCAGTCCTTAACTTTGCCCTGTGGGATGCCTCCAGGATACTTCATTCTCTTCCTTACGGTCATCTTGAGAGTTAGATCATCGTGGGTCATCGTGGAGTTAAAGGAGCTAAGTTTCCTCCTCAAACCTGTCTCAGTAGAACTAGTTGGTATGCATCTGAATTCTGGTTGTAGCTTTTAATCCTTTTATGGAGTAGTTAAGTCCAAGAAATATAGATCACCAGGGAGCCGTGAAGATAGTAAAAGCATTTTTATTCCTAGAAACCACGTCTGTGGGGTGGGCTTAGGGCAGGATATCTATCCTAAAAATGATAACGATGATGATAACGGGAGCCACAACGGCAGCAGCGAACACCGAGTGCCGCGCACGGCCGTCGGACCCATGACTGCTCCCGGCACCGTCCGTACCCTTCTACAGAACAGGAGACTGAAGCAGGCAGAGTGAAGGAGCTCACTCTTCTCATTGTTCACGTGTGGGCTAAACCTCAGCTTCTAGGAGAGCCCTTGCTGGGCACTCCTTAGATTACACCCGCCCTCACTGCTCCTTAAAACACAGTCTCTGTGAAACCAGAGGGCCTTCAGAAGCGTTTCCAACTACCAGTGGGTTAGCCCCGCCCAGCCCCTCCCCTTTGGGAATCGGGTCTCACTAAGAATCCACCATCTGGTGTCTGCTCTCCCTACCTGGGTGCTCCCCAAGGACAGCAAAGGGACTGTCTTGTTCGGTGTTCAAATGGCAGGCCGGTCCCTGGCACTGCAGGGACAGATTAGATAACTGATGTGTAATTGAGTAGTCCCTGCAGCCTTAAGTAATCTGGAGGTCATCTGAAGGGACTCCTACAGTAAAGCCCAACCACAGTAAAGCCCACCCAAGGTCCACAGTAGTGCCTTCTGGAGAAGCCTCTGCTAGCCACGGAGCAGGCCACAGGCACCAGGATCTTGGGTTGCCCGGGGAAAGCAGGGCTGTACTTCAAACTACAACGTGTTTAATTTCCAAGTCGCCTGGGTGGCTCTGCTGGGACATATTCTTGCCTAGCAGAGCCTGTCCACCCTCCCTATTCCTGTGGTCTGAAAACTTATTCAAAGATGCCTATGCTTGATCAGCACCTTAGGGTCGCTGAGACAAGCCTCGTGGTCAGACATTCCTTTGCAGAGTGTAAACAGAAGAAAAGCAGTTTGAGGGTAGGGTTAGCAAAGACAGCTCTCATATTGCTGAGGGGGTCACCAGCAATGTGCTTGGAGGCACGTGTGATGTTACATGTGTACGGGCTTCTTCTGCACACTTCTCCCAAGGCAGTGCTTCTTCACAATGCATGTATCTTAGAATTACCTGAAAAGTTTTTAAAAGAGAGTTCTAAACCCAACCCATCTCCAACTACCCCAGACCAATGAAATCAGAATCCCTGGGTTAGGCAGTTTGTTTTGTTTAGTTTTGTTCCCAATTTCCAGATGATTCCCATGGACAGCTAGGGTGAAGCTAGACTACTGTTCTAAAGAAAGCCATATGTTTCCATCTGGGGCTTTTAGGAGGGAAATCTCTAAAGTTTTAAAAACCATGTACAACCGAGTTTTGCGAACACAATTAGTATTTGTTTTATTTATTCCCTATTTCCCATAAACAACTTCTAAGCGTTGGCACAATGTCGCCATCTGCAAGGCATATGACAATAACAGACGGCCGCCTAATAATCAGGGAGGCATTAATGTTCACGGGCTCTAAATTATCTGGATTCATCTGGTATGATCTGTGTTGATGAGGCCACTTAATGCTTGATTTTTGTGTCTTTTGATGGCAGTACCAGAAGTGGGAAGGCTATATTTTCTGGGCTTTGCATTGTTCTTTGTCATCCTATTGAATTGTTACAAGATAGATTTATAACAGACCTAAAGGTGGTATCAAAATGAAAATTAGTTCTTGAGTAGAATAGCAATCCTGTTTGACTCGCCTGTAGCAACTGCGTCCTATCTGCCTCTGCAAGGAAGAAAATGACTTCTTAATGTGGTTTCCTTCCACTAAGGAGAATTAAATCTATGTGGCAAAATGTAAAACCAGCGTGCTGGCAGCCAAATTCTGAACGGAAGATCCATGACCCTCATAAACATATTTGTGGCCTGGTTATATGCTAATGAATCTCATTTAGGCTCTGACTTACCCCGCATGGAAATACAGCCCAGCTGGAGAGCCCGGCTACTGTTCCCTCACTGTTTTGCCTTCTGTATTAAGGCTTGCTATGAAATAAGTTGGGGGGGCTTCTCCATCTGCTGCGAGCTGCCCGGGTGGGGTCTCTGAGTTAGGTTTAGAACGTTTTCCTCCAACATAGCAAACTTCGCTATTTTAGTTGATAGACTTTGCGCTGAGTTGGCAAGATTATTTTCAAAGAGGTGGAAGGGAATCTGGAATCTACTCTGTAGTGGTGCGGTAGCTCCTCTGGGGTAGAAAGAGACAGAAGTTGTTGAGGATAAGTCTGACACTGACCACTACAGAACAGAGTCATCTCTGACAAAGTGAATGAACTTCAGATCTCAATTTCCTCCTTGGTAAAATGGGGCTAACTGCATCCGCCTTATTGATCATTTTAAGGATTAAATAATGCATATCCAAAAAACTGACCTTCACATCACAAATGTGCACCGTCATTAGTGCTATTGAATCGTTTATCTCAATCTCAAACATCACAAAATGTATAGTGCAGTGTGTTGGGTTAAGAATTTATACCTTCAGCATTTTATGATGTATAGAACCACACATAAGAACAACAAATTTACTTAATGAAATTGAATTGCAATAGGAGATTAAGGGAGGAAATTGAGCTCTTCTAAGGAAGAGAGTTCTGAAGACATCGACTTAGATATACATATAGAGGGGATAAAATCTTAATGCTATCAAAGACGAACACAAAAAGTACAAAAAAAAATGGATGTCAAAGAAGGATTTTTAAACTATTCAATGGATTGAGATCAATTGTTAATTTTTTGATTTTTTTTTTAAACTATTAGGTCATTGGAAAAGTCTTGACTTATTTTTCTATGCAAAAATGCACCATGACTTTTCTGATAACCCAATATTTACATGCTTGAAGCTTCTTTTAACGGAAATACTCATTTCTTACTCAGTAGCCATGGGCCTTGTATTACCACCGTAAATTTGCATTAGCTACTTTGGTTCAGTGGCCTTCTCAGAGATCATGTAAGGGAGGCCAGCCTCCAGGAATGACTGTGGGTAGGTTGCAAACCCAATGCCTTCAGAGTCTGGGAAATCAACTAAATGAATGACACCTGTCAAGCATAAGAATTCGAGAATGGTAGGAATGATGGTGCATGGCAGCATGTGTCTCTGGTGGCAACCCAGTCTGCAGCCACCACTCCCAGCCTCAGCATGGCCTAATCTCATTAAAGGAACTGGAAATATGGGTTCCTATGTGAAACTTCCCTATTTCCAAAATTTGACAAGGAATACAATATGAAGACACATACATGCCTGCCTATGTACTGGCCTCTAGTGTGCAAATTTCACTTAGTTCTCTCTCCCGCGTGCCCCCATTGCCCTTACCCCACATTTGTTCAAAGAGGCCCAAGGACCCATTGATGACTCTATTCCATTTTTTCCTCCAAAGCTCCAGAAACATGACAAAGAGGACGAGGACTCGCCAGCCTCTTGGAGATCGGAGGAGGAAATGGCGGCAGAAGCTGCAGCACTGCGGGTCTACTTTCAGTGACACAGGTAAAGACTGCGCACTTCCTCACCACCACACCCTCCAATGGGCTCCAGGAAAGCAGCTTCCTGCTGTTTTAAAGCAGCTTCCTGCTGAGAATGGGGGTGGGCAAAAGCAGCACCAACAGCTTTGCATGGGGGCATCCTGGGTGTAAAATCTAGACTAGAGGAAACGTGGCCTTTGAGGGTTTTATTTCCCCCCCATCCCAGGCCCCATCCACACACTCACCTTCTCCTATCTTTCCACTTCCTTTCATGGAGGTATCCGAGTCCAACCTAGGCCACCATCACCTCCTTTTCCCTCTCCTTCATCACTGCTTCTCTCTGGTCAAGTCTCCACAAAGCAGGTAATTTATAATGCAAACCTGACCTTGAAAAGGACCCTTGATGGACGATGCGGTATTGCAGTCAGTCTGCAAGGCCCAGTGGACCAGCTCTCTACCTCCCTGCTCTATCAGCCACACCCAGGCATATTCTTCTTTCACCAGTAGCTATTTCATAAATTGTCCTTTGCATATCCCTTTAACGTTGGCCACTAAGAAACTCAAGCATATAGAAGAACGTCAGGTCTTAATAGAACGATCTCTTTGCATTAATGATATTTAACTATGAGGAGATGATAGTTTTAAGACTCTGATAGAAAAAATACTGATAAGTCTGTCTCCTTTCCAAAATGTACCAACACATTGAATTTTTCTTTTTTTTTTTTTGAGAGGTTTTTGCTATAGGGCATGTGCGCTCGCTGGAAAGACAGAGAAACAGAAAGCAAGAAATCACACACCTCCAAGGGGGATGGCCACACTGCGATCCCTTCTCCTCCTCTCAGGATTTTGGGCATGCATGCACACACGCCCGGCATGAGTTTAAGCCACCGGGTCCAGGACTTGAACCATGGTCTACTACATGGGAGTCCAGCAACATAGCCATTATGCTAACTGCTGGTCCCCCTACACACTGAATTTTTATATAACATTCAGGGCTTATGGATCTTCTGAAATTCATTCATAAATTGGGTTGTCATACAAGATTATAACAGACCTAAACTAAGAGAAATTATTTGTTGTGTATTGAAATTTGTGTTTAACCATAAATCTTGTGTTTTATCTGGCAACCCTGTTAATAACTTTCTTAGGGAATATGACTCCAGACAAAAAGGTCCTCTTCTTGAAATATCTTATTTTTCCTTTTTTAAAATTAGATAATTCTGAGTTAGAATTGGGCTATTCTTTATCTAGCTAATGAATAAATATGTTCATATCATAAGTTTATGAAGTAGGGATCGGATACAAATAAAAGAAAATTTGTGAATACCAGTGGCAATTGAATTATATAAAATTGTCTCAACCACTTAATGATCATGATTTTTAGCTAGAAAACACATACGTTGTAATGTGATTTCACCTGCAAGACTTCTAAGTCTTTATTAGATGGTTTAAAATGTCTGTTCATTTCTTGTCCTTTCTCCCCCACCCCTTTTTAAAGTATAATATTCTAACTACTTAAAGGCCCAGAACTGCCTCTCCCCCATTATCGTTCAGAATGGTGTTGGGCTTAGGCACTTGCAATCTCAAAAATGCATTTCATTCTACCATGCCATCGGTTTGTCAGCTCTGCACTCAGTTGCCTAAAGCGATGTAGTGAGCTGTAGCCGAAGCTTTCATATTTTATTTTTAACCTTTTCCATTGTTTCCTTCTCATTTTTCATTTTCTTTCTTTTTTGTAATGGATCAAGCTATTTACCTAAAAACGTAGGCCTATGTGCATGACTGCAAACCTCTATTCCTCTTTTGAAAGCCTTTGTGTCATTTTGGAGTGTGCTGTCCAAATGGGATCGTAACTCTTCAGCCTTGACTTCCCAGGCTAAGGTTTTTGCCGTTTCTTCCCCTGGGTTTTCTATACATTGGATACTTCCCGGTGGAGGCCAGAAAGCTCTAGGCTTTACCTGAGGTTTGCTGAATTGTAGGATTCTGTTTCAGAGTGCATTTTCTAGACACTTTAAGAAGATTTAAACTTATTACCCAAGTTTCCTGTGTGCTTTGCTTTGTCAGTTTTTGCTTAGGTCTTGCCTTGAGGCCTGACATCTCTCATCTTCCAGGTAAAGCTCTGGCTTTGTAAATCTTGCCAGAAAGACGTTCACCCTAACTTGTTACACAAACTATTGCCACAGTGCCCACGGGCTTTTAAATTAACATTTGTATCTCACTTTAAGGGTTTTTGTTTACAGACCAAACAAAACACCTTCAGTCTTCCCAGCAGGGAGATGTGGGAACTGACAGTAGGAGGGCTAATGAAGGTGCCAGATAGCACAGGACCAGTGTCTGCGAAGCAAGGGACTTCAAATTAGGGTCCTGAGATTCTGCCAAGAGCAGGACATCGCCTGTATTGTGGTGGGATTTAATGTACTCCCTTTGGGGACAAGGAAGAAAGGAAAAATTCCCCTTTTTCAGAAAACAGGATCACTGGGTTACTCTCTCTGGTTCCTGACATGCCCCCCCCCCCTTTTCAAAATGCATCCTACACACTGAACTTTTACACAGCGTTAAACAGCTCATGGAACTTCTGAAATTTGTTAATAGAGTGATTGTCCAATAATTAGACCTACCTAGACTTCAAATAGTTACTGTTCATCTGAAATTCAGGTAAATAACCCCCCTAACCACTCCTAGCTTTCTTGACTGTTTCCTCAGCAACAAGTCAATCTTAGAGCAAGAGTAAAGATTTGGGTCCCGCTGCAAGACTGCCCAGTTCGAACCGCGCACACAGGCAGACATGTGGGGCTCACCCTGAAAACTGAAAACACCAGTCAACCCTTAGGAAGAATTTACAGGACACAGCTTCTCTTGTTATATCCTGTCTTTCAGGTGATGAGAAAACGGAGGCTCAGTGATGTTAAGAGTTATTCTGACATCAGTGGTCAGTAGGTGATGAAGCTCAGATTGCACCCAGGCCCATTCTCCTCATCTTTCATTACCCACATTGCTAAATGCACTTACTTCTCCAGCCAGAAACTCCTCTGTCCCCGCTCCCCTGGCGCCCTCCAAATACTCCTTTCTAGCCTCTTTAGTCTGCTGGCCTCTCTGGTTCCACTGTGCGGCTCTCCTCCTCCTGCTAGCCTTCCTTGCCCACCTTGTTAATGTCATCTTCTCCTCACAGCCTCCCTGGTCACACTGCACCCAGGGAACAGAATCTTGTCTTGGCCCCAGCTATTAGCAACTCTCCTTCAAGGTTTTCAGACCATTTCAGTTCCTGCCACAGCTGCCCTCCTCCCCTTCCTCTACCCTCTGACCACATGTCCATGCAATATGACCTTGTACCAGCCACTGCAGTGTTTTGTAAATTTCATTAATTTCCATTCTGTAACTTTTTTAAAAAAAAAATTATTATTTTTTTTGGAGAGGTTTTTGCTATAGGGTGCGTGCGCCCACCAGAAAGACAGAAAACGATAAATCACCCCCCAGGGGGGATGACCACACACAGCAATCTCTTCTCCATTCTCCTTTCGGGATCTTGGGCATGCATGCACACACACCCAGCATGAGTTTAAGCCACCGGGTCCAGGACTTGAACTGCAGTCAACTACATGGCAGTCCAGTGACATAGCCATTACACCAATTAATGGTCCCAATTCTGTGACTATTTTTTTATCTTCATGTATCTCCTAGGGAATTATTTACTTTTTAAATTTTGGTACATTTATCGAAAACCATCTAGACTTGATGAAAAAAAAAATGTACTTGTGATTATTGGGTCATCCAGAAAGTTGTGACACATTTTTGCATAGAAACAGAAAAATACGACATGACTTTCCGACAACCTAATAGAAGTATAAAAATAAGTGTAAAGGAAAGGGAATTCTGGAAAATCCCAGCTGTGTATTGTTGCATGTGTGGAGCTACCAAGACTGAGGTTTGTTTTCTCTTCTAGAAGTGAGGATGGCTACCTTCAGAGAGGCATTTCATTCCAGTACCAAATGGTGACTCCCCACTTGATCTATTCAGGATTAAAAGAAAAAAAACCTACATAGGGATTCATTGTAGATCATCTAAAATTCTCTTAAACAGGCATACGATTCCCACCTTTGGAGAAATAGTGGTAGAGGTCATAATGCAAATCCAGAGCAAGCTAACCCCAGACCTGCTCTGTCTTTTTCACCAGACACATGGAGAACAGAAGGCACATAAGGGAAATCTGAGAGTCAACTTCCCTAGGGCTGGCAGGTCACTATTTTGTCCCTGGCTGGAAGACACTGGGCCGGAAGGTGTGTACCACACTCCACTACCGTTCATGGGCACACTTAGTCTCTAGGATGACTGAATCTCTTTGGTATTGCACCTTCTCCTGGGAGATCGACTCCCAAGCTCAGCTCACACTTTGCTTAACATTAGCCTACCTTTTTTTTTTTTTTTTTGGAGAGGTTTTTGCTATAGGGCGCATGCACTCGCCAGACAGACAGAGAGACAGAAAGCGAGAAATCACCCCCAGGGGGGATGGCCGAAATCCCTTCTCCTCCATTCTCCTCTCAGGATCTTGGGCATGCACGCACATGCACCCGGTATGAGTTTTAAGCCTCCGGGTCCGAGACACGAACCATGGTCGACTACGTGGGAGTCCAGGGACATAGCCATTATGCTAACTGCTGGTCCCAACATTAGCCTACCTTAAAATCCAAAAGAAAAAAAAAGGGGGGCTGGCTTCATGGTACACAGAGGTTATGCACTGCACAAGAGAAACTAGAGTCCACATGGCAACAGGTTCAAATACCTGGTCCAGTCAGCTGAAACATGCTAGGCACACACACACGTGCCCAAGATCCGATGGGAAGCAAGCCTGGAGGAAGAGGATCATGGCATGGCTGGACACTGTCGGCAATGCTCATCTCTCTCTCTCTCTCTCTCAATCTCTCAGTCTCCCTCACTCTGTGTGTGCACATGCACTCTATCAAACAAGAATGCTCAGCAGGTGCAGAGACATGTAAGCGCCTGTACCTAGAGACACCCCTCATAGGAAAC